GACCCTCCCGCCCCCAGGCAGTTAGGAAGTTCCGGGAGAGAGCAGGGGATCGAGTTTCCGCGCGTGAAGTCGTTGGCAGGGCACCCTGGGCGGCGGGCTCCGGGGCGGGAGCCGAGGTGGGGGCGTCGGGGAGGGCGCGTGGACTGGCGGTGGCTGCGATGTGCCGAAGACCCTCCCGGCCGGTGGGCCCGTCCCCTTCCCGCCTCTGCCTGCTGGGGCCCGCTCGCGGGTCCCGTGGGCACCAAGCCGGGCCGTCGGGAAGGTCGCCCTTCGCCCCCCCGTCCGTCCCCCGTCCTTGACTCCGAGTTCCTCGCCACCGCGTCGGGCGGCGTCAAGGCGCGCAGTGGGCGCTCGATTCAGGGTGGCAGGAGTGAATGGTGGAGACTTTCCAGATTTTCTCAAAAATCTCGGGATGGAGTTGCCCCGTTTCCTTTTCGAGAAATCCCGGCCGAGCGCAGAGGCAGGTAAAGCCTCAGGTTCCGGAAAGGCGTCCGGGAGGGGCCCCGCCTTTCCCAGCTCCCTAGGCGCGCTTCCAAGCCGAGGACCCGCTGCCTCGAGTGACCGTCCAGGGGGTCCTGAGGGTGTCCGATGGGTGAGGGGGGTCCCGGGGCGGGTGTGATGTCAGCGCGCCGGGGGTGTGATGAGGAGGGAGCGACGGGACGCCGTGCCCCGGGCGCCAGGGCTTGGAGCGTCCTGTCCACCGAGGACGAACCTCGGAGGCCGGGGGAGTTGATTAAGGCCCGCTCCTCCACGTCCGGGCTCGGCAGAAGGCTGCTCGGGACCCGCTGCTGACATGATCTGAGGCCTCAGTTTCCCTGTTTGGAAACCAGAAACAGAGAGCATGCCGTTCTGTAGGGTTCCGGAGAGAATCGAATGGAACAGTGGACGAAATCGCTTCGCCTCGCGCCTCGGCACAGAGCAAGCTCTCAAAACATCTTTCTAACCACCTGCCACCCCCTTGCCTTCCCAGCACTGCCTACCTTGCCCCTATTGTCTATTTATCCATGCGCTCTTGTGTCGGTCTCTCCGGAACCCCGGGGAAAACCGCCCACAGCTCCAGGGCCCCTCCAGAGAGAAAGAGCCCCTGGCCTTCCCGGCCCGCTGCGCGGTCTGCAAAGGGCCAGCCACCCGTTGGCCCGCCGCGGGCACCTGCAGCCCTGCGGCTCCGGCGACGCTCGGGCGCGCGGCAGCGCCCCTTTCCGTCGCCAGAGGGCAGCGCGCTCCTGCGCAGGCTGGGCGTGCGGGGGGCCGCGGACCGCTCGGCTCTCCGCAGGCCTCCGCGCGCGGGCTCCGGACTCCGCAGCCGGGGCGGCCCCGGA